TCTGGAAGCATCTCGGAGACGTTGTCACAGTTCTTCTGGATTGAGGTAATTGATGTGACATTACAATAAAAACACAAATGTAAGTTGAGAAGAGTACAGAAACCCATCATCCCTCAGCAGGACTCACACGCACACACACCCTGATAAATTATCCTTGAAGGCATAGACGCATGTGCATCAACCAGGCCTTTCAACATCTGGACTCCTCTGTCTGGCCCTCCAGCATCAGGCCTCCTCCAGTTTGGCTTGTCAACATCAGGCCTCCTCTAGTCTGGCCCTCCAGCATCAGGACTTCTCCAGTCTAGCCCTCCAGCAAAAAAGACTGGAGAAGGTGGAGATATCAATTGTGACTGCAGAGGAAGATAAAGTTTTGACCATCCTGGGGCATTGGAGGGGATCCTTGGAGGCATAGATGCATGTGCACCAACCAGGCCTTTCAACATCTGGACTCCTCTGTCTGGCTCTCCAACATCAGGCCAGCATCAGGCCTCCTCCAGTCTGTCCCTCAAGCATCAGCAATGGGTCCTGGTCCTGGTCCTGGCCTATTGCTCCCTTCCCCTGACTCACCTCAGTCTGAGGCCTCTTCATGTGCTGAGCAACATCCTCCTGACATTCCAGAACACCAGCCATTAATCTCATGCCAAAGGAGAAAATAGCTGAACTCCAGGGAATCAGGAAATAATTGAGAGCCCTGAAGGAGCAGCAAGACCGACATCATCAGGAAGTAATGGCCTACAGGAGGGCTAAATTAGAACTATGGCATTACAGGCTAGCAAGCCCTCTTTAACAGTGTTTTTACCAAACAACAGTAAGTGCAAACTGCATTATTCATTACTTAATATGTAAAATCAAATCATGTGTGACTGACAGCTTTGTTACCTTTACAGATCCACAGATGTAACCCTTTACAGCTTTTTTTGTTCTCTTTTTGGAATACATTGTTGGCCACCATGCCTCCCAAAATCCAACCCCTCGTCCTTGTCATGGGAGGTGGAAACAGACTGGGTCTGGCAAATGGGGCTCTGGTGAAGCTGTGTGGGTTTTCCGTGATAAAGCAATTCAAAGCCTTCATCAGTTGAATTGAAATACAAAATAAAATATCCTATTTTATGACCAAACTCTTTTGTTATATGTTCTTTAAGTGCTTTTCTAATACATTTGGCATTCATACAGTAGTTTAACATGTGGAAAAGTAACTTGACTCATCAAAGTAGTACTTTAAGGCTAGATCAAAATGCAGGCAATTGCTGAGTGAAGCTGAAGCATTTTCACCATGCCTTGTCA